AGGGCAGCTCTGCAGCCGGCAGGCAGGCGAACGCCGCCGGCAGCGGCAGCACCCACCGGCGCCGCTGCGCGACCTGCCTCATGTTGCCCGGCAGCTGCTGGCTCAGGCGGCCGCGCTCGAGCAGGCTCTGGTCGCGACGCAAGAGTACCTGCAGGAAGGTTCCAAGAAGGTTCCAAGAAGGTTCCTGTGCGTCCCTGGTGCGGAGCGGAAGCGGGTTGAGCACGGAGCGTGCACAGACAGTCTGTGATGAGGCGTGCACAGAGACCTTGGTCTCGCCGCTTCTTCCCGGCCCGTCCCTGCGTTGCCTGCGTTATCCCTCCTCCTCCGCGACTCCCTCAAGGCCGGCCGAGCCTCTTTCCACCCAGTGAAGAGCTTCCTCAGCCACTCGATGTGTTCCTCTCTCTTCATTATGCGCGCCGTAGCCTCATCATTGAGCTGGATCCACCTCTGCACCGCTCCCGTCGCCGCCTCGGCCACGACTTGCAAGTTCCTCGTGACCCCGGCGCCAAGGTCCCTCCGGCTCTTCTCCGAGAGATCATCTACCAGCGCCGGCAACACCCCCCCGACGAACTCAGGGTCCTTAAATAAATAAATAAAAACGGACACCTCTCTACTGTGAGGTGGGTAAAAAGGAACAGGTCCCCGCCCTTGCGATCTTTGTGCAGGGTTCTTTGTGGGTGTGGTCGGCGACTAGCCGGGGTCGTCCTCCCGATGGGGGACTAGCACTAGCCGTCTTCCACATGGTCCCTCGGGTCCCTGCTGCTCCTAATCTCTTCGTACATCCTCCTGCTGATCTCCGCAAAGTCCTGCTCCCTCCCTCGTCTCGCCCTGCACGTCTGCTCCGCCTCACCGTCTTCTGCCCTGCGTCGTCTGGTGACGGGTCCTCCATAGTCGGTCGAGGTCGCCGCCCTCCTCGTGCCTCTTCCCAACGTTCCCTCGGCGGCCGATGCCGTCCGCTCCGGCACTAGTTATTCCCCAGTCCCCGGGTCTGCCCTGCTCTCGTCTGCGCTAGTTTCTGCTTCGTCATCACCGGCGTCTCTCCTCTTCCTTCTCCCCTTCTTGTATGCTTTGCACATATCGCGTCGATTCCTTTTCGCGTGAGCACCAACCTGAAGCCCGCCCAGCAGCTGAACCGCTCCCTAAGTCGAAGGAGCATCATCAGTCTCACCCACTTCGCTCGCTGCCCACCGTCTCCGCTCCCTCCCGCTTGAGCCGCCGTCGCGGCCCTCGTTCGTCCCACTGGCTGTTGGCCCGTCCTTTGCGGATTGCGCGTTGCCTGCGAGCTGCGTCATCCCTCCTCCTCCGCGACTCCCTCAAGGGTCCTTCCCCTTTAGGGTGGACTGTTTTTTGTTCATGCAAACACTGTATGTTGGGCGTGCGCCGTGCTGCAGATTGTACGCGTGTGTGGGGAGTGGCTCTGTCAACGTCCAAACCGCGCGCAGCGTAACGGCGGCTCCGCCGACCGAAGCTGCCTGCAAATCGCTACTTGTAGAGCAGGTAGCAGGTGGGCACGGTGGCGAGCATACAGACGAGCTGCAGCGGCAAGCCGAAGCGCACAAAGTCGGCGAAGGCGTAGTCGGCGTCGCGCGACACCATCAGGTTGGTCTGGTACGAGACGGGCGTGGAGAACGAGGCGGAGGCGGCCATGGTCAGCGTATAGAGCGCGGCGCGCCACGGCACGCCCGACGCCTCCGACATGCGCACGACGATCGGGAACATGAGCACCACGACGGCGTTGTTGGAGATGACGGCGCCGATGGCGATGGCGACCGCGTAGATTGCAAAGAGGAGGGCGAGCGAGCCTGCGGAGGCCACCGTGCGGGGCCTGGCGGCAGAGGCCGAGCGATGAGGCGGCGAGGGGAGAGGGAGGGGGGGAGCGAGCGCGCCGAAAGGCGCGACGATCGCGACGAGGGAGGAGGCGGCCGAGGCGGCGAGGCCCGACACCTCGATGGCCTTGCCGAGCGCGAAGGAAAGAGCGATCGAGAGGAGCACCTAACCCCGCGGGTGGGGGCTGCTCACTGAAGCACGCGGCTGCGGGGAGGGCCGCAGGGGCGCGGCGAGAGAGGGGCACCGGCCCGTTGACCGCCGCCCACGCGTCCGAGAGGTCCATGCAGCCGAGCCGCATCAGCACGCACAGCGCGGAGAGGGCCGTTGGGACGAGGAGCGGCGGCGAGGCGGCCGCGACGCACATCGTCCCAGTCAGGACGCCTAGCCACGCAGCTCAACTCACCAGTCACCGGACCTGTCGGGCCGCAAGCGCACGTCGTCCCAGTCCGCTCGCCGAGAGTGAGCCACAGCCGGGCGACGCCGCGAGGAGGCGCCGCCACCGCAGACGGAGCGGAGGACGGCGCTGCGCGCGGCGCGAGGGGCGCGCTCTTTCCGTCCGGCAGCAGCGAGCCGCCCGCTGCCACCATGTACGCGGCGCCTGCCGGACTCGTCGCGGACGTGTCATGGACGTGTCGCGTGCGTCGGCTGTGCGCCCGCTGGCGGCGGCGGCGTTGACGAGTCCGACCGGAGTGATGCCGAGCATGCCCATCGGCGAGGTCGGGTCGTGCTTGCGTGCGGCCTGGCGCGTGAGCGGATGCGGTGGGGGCTCGGGCGCGGTGTTTTGCCTCGGGGCGAGGGGCCGGAGGCGAGGGCGCGCTCGAGACTCAAGCCCCTCCGGCGAGGCGAGAGGCAGGTGCGGATGGGTCCATCTCGGCTCACCACGGCCCATCTCGGCTCCTCGGCCCCATCTCGGCTCCATCTCCGCTCCTCCCGGCTCATCTCGCTCCTCCGCGGCGACGAGGTTGGTCGACGAGCCGATGAGGGTGATGGTGCCTCCGAGCATAGTCGCAAAGGAGAGGGGCATCATCAGCTGCTTGGGCGCGACGGCGGGCGAGAGGGAGGCGGCCCACGAGCGCGCGACGGGCATGAGCATCGCGCAGACGGGCGTGTTGTTCAGCACCGCCGAGAGCAGCATCGTGGGGAGCACCTACACACCGGGAGGCGCCGCACCTCTGCGCGACTGCTACCGCCAGCGAGGAGCGGAGGAGCGGCGAGGAGCGGCGAGGAGCGGAGAGGTGCGGACAGGAGCGGAGAGAGGAGCGGCGAGGAGGGGAGAGGAGCGGCGAGGAGCGGAGAGGAGGGCGCACGAGGCGGAGCACGGCGGCGAGGCGCGACGAGGGCCGGCCGAGGAGGAAGCGCGAGATGTAGGCCAGCCCGCCCGTCGCCTGCGCGGAACGAGGCGGCCGTGCGAGTGTGCGGGTGGGCCGCCCCGGCCGGGCCTCGCCCCGTGGCCCGCCTCTCTCCTGGCCAGCCTCTCCCCGGGTGACCCCCGGCGTGAGAGCGGAGGCCCCTACTTCCGCCCGCCTGCACGCCCTTAGCGACCGCACTCATGACTCCGACGGCGACGACGCCCTCGGAGGCGAAGCCAGCTAGCGCCTCCTTGAGCGTGATGACGCCGGACCAGACGAGCGCGAGCACGCCCTCCAGCAGCGCCTGCTCCGGCGGAGCGTCGAGCACCGCCATCTGCAGCAGCGAAACGGCAATCGCGCCCGCGGTGACACCCGCCTGCCGCGGCATCGAGAGGAGGAGCGGGAGCAGCGCGAGCAGCGCGGCACCACTCAGGCCGAGTGAAAGCCACGGCACCTCCTCCGTCACCGGCGCCGGAGGGACTGCGGGCCGGGAGAGCTGTGTCGGCCCGAGGCCGCCGCGCAGGCGCAGCGCCGGGCCGGGGATGGGCCGCATATGTTGTGAGCTCAAAGAGCGAGTAGCTCCGACGACAGGCGAGACCCCGATTTTCAATGTATGTGGCTCTTACGTAATTTTTGCTCGCTCCTTTTTTGCTCGCTCCTTTTAGCTCCCTCCTTCTTTTTTACCCACGTTTTTCTTTTCTTTTTGCTTGCTCGCTCTCGCGCCTTGAGCCTCCTCCTATTTGTCGGGCAAATGATCGCCCTCTGCAGCTTGCTCGGCTCGGCGGCATACCTGCCTTCGACGCCCTCGGGCCTCTCGCCCGGTGTGTGGCAGGTCCGATCGGGGCGACGCGCTGCGGCCGTCCGAGGCGCCCTCGTCGACGCGACTGCGGTTGGAGGAGCCGGCGGGCGGCTGGAGCAAGGCGTTGCCGAGGCGTTCGCCATGGCGCTCGTCGAGGCGTGGAAGGGTGACGACGCCGGCCTGGGGCGGATGCTGCTCCCCGAGACGCGGGTTGAGACGCCGATCTGGAGCTGCGCTAGCGCCCGCGACTATCTCGACGATCTCGCCGGCGCGTGCCGCTTCTTCACAAACGCGGGGAGGACTCCGCCGGCGCTGGCGGTCCTGTCGACAGGCGTGGTCCGGCCAGGCGTGGCCAAGGTGCAGTGGTCCCTCGGCGTCGAGTGGCCCAGCGCCTGGCGCTCGCGCGTCAACCTGCTCGCCGAGTCGGAGCTGCTGCTCGAGTCGGGCGGCGGCGGCGGCGGCGGCCCGCGTGTGCGGGCGATCAAGGAGACATGGCACGAGGCGCCGCTCGACGTGTTCGGGCGGCAGGTGACGCCTCGCTTGCGCGACCTCGTCTCTCTGTGGAACTCGCCCACCGCGGAGCACGTGCGCCGAGATCGAGCCGAGATCGAGCCGAGATCGAGTGCCGAGGTTTAGCCGAGCTCAGTTGCCCACCGCACCGCAGTGGTGGGATGCGGCGTGGCCTGCGGACGCGAGAGGGGCGACTCTCCCTTCCCTGCTGCTGCTGCTGTGTGGCCGCGCAGGTGCCGATGTGGACGGAGCGGACGACGGACGACTACCGCGTGCTCCGCGTCCCTCCGATGGTCGCCGTGCAGGCGGAGTGGGTGGAGACGCAGACGCTGCTTCTCGCCGAGCAGGCGCACGCCTCCCCGCCGCTTGCCAATCTCACTCCCACCACCGGCGCCTTGTCATCGTGAGTCGCTCTTTTGCTGCGGCCGCCAGGCGCCGCTCCCGCCCGAGTTTGCCTTCACGGGCGAAGTCAAGCGGTCGGAGTGGCGCGCGCCCCCCCCCAAGCCCCGCTGGAGAGGTCTCTAGCCGCGTGCTCGCTCGCCGCGCCCGCCGCCCCCTTGGGAGAGGGAGGCGGCGGTAGCGCCGGGGCGGAGAGGCGGCGCGCAGCGGGGCGCAGCAGAGCTCCGCGGCAGCCCTCGTTGCCCCGGGGGGGCGGGGGGGGGGGAGGGGGGGAGGCGGCCAGCCCACCCTCTCTCTGCACGCCTCATCACACCCTCTCTCTGGACGCCCCGTGGTCAACCCGCTTCCGCTCCGCACCAGGGACGCACAGGAACCTTCTTGGAACCTTCTTGGAACCTTCCTGCAGGTACTCTTGCGTCGCGCCGAGCCTGCTCGAGCGCGGCCGCCTGAGCCAGCAGCTGCCGGGCAACATGAGGCAGGTCGCGCAGCGGCGCCCGTGGGTGCTGCCGCTGCCGGCGGCGTTCGCCTGCCTGCCGGCTGCAGAGCTGCCCTCGCCCGACGGGGGGAGCGGCGGTACCAGGCCCGAAGGGGTCACGTCGCAAAGCGTGCAGTACGTGCGCCGGCCGTCGATGAGGCGAGCAGCGGTCTAGAGCGGCGGTCTAGCATGCGCGGGGGGGGGGGGGGGGGGGGGTCTCTTCTCCCAAAAAAACCCAAAAAATTTTTGGGGGGAATGGCTCCCCCCCCCCGGAATTGGGAACCCCCCTTTTGCCGGGGAAAGGGACCCCCGGGGCTTTTTTCCCCCCCTGGCCGGGGTTTTTCCACCCGCAGGTTCGGGGGGGGAAAA